CCTGTATCCTAATATTTCAGCAACTGGAAGTTTGGGTTAATCTTATTAATTAGGTTAATTTAATCTCGAATTCCCAGTCACCGACAGTTGATAAGGATGATTCTTAAAGTTCCCGGTATCAGTGCAAATAGCTAATTCAACATCTCAGGAAGTAGCTTATTGTTCAAGTTCTTTCTCAAGTTCAATTTCAGAATCTTATGAACAGTTTGCATCTCGAGATAAAGACTGGTTGGCAAGGATTAACCAAACAGGATGGTTACAACTTATCAACTACTGCTTGTCAGCAGCGGCGGAAGGAATCGAATCTCTTATGGATCATGGATGTTCCGTGATTATTTATGGTACGATTTTGCAGCCCAGTGCCGTGTGTGCGCTAAGTTAAAACGCAGATATTTTTCTTCGAAAATGGGAAGCTGCACTTTGACAGAAGTTTTGGAAAAAGCCTCGCTTATCCGGTCGAACTCCTCCCATTACTGTGCCCATTTTCGACCAAGCTCTGCATGCTCAGTGTGAAAACGCAGGTGGTCGGGCTTCCGCTCATTACCGTATCCACCTTTAATCGAGCCCAGCCCTCAACTTCTCACCCATCAGGGACCATGACCCAGTTGTTCTCTTGGGGCAAGTATATGTTCCTACTGAAACAACCTTGTCAAAAATGAGGTCCAATACAGTGAAAGCTGCTGCAAACTTGTCTCTTCATTGCCATAAAAGTCATTTTGATCGAACTTCTAGTACCAAACCTCCCGATGGCTTAAACACATAGAATGTCGGTATATTTGTGGCGTATATAACCTTTAACCCGCTTGCTGTGAGGTGAAGCGGTAGCGCTTGGAAAATTGCTCCCGGTCCCATGCGGCCAGAAAACTCGAAATGTGCGCTGTTGCCACCATGTTGATATGCATCATACACCAATTGTTATGAGAAAGCTGATGAATTTCCTTTTTGTGTAATTACCAACTTTTTCAGAGAATAATGGTTTGGATATTTCTGCTGTAGTTTCTAGTCTTGTGCAAATTTGCTGTGATCGATATTATAGGACTCTCGAAGGTATCTTTCAGGAAATTTGCTCGGTGACAGCTGCTCTCATTCATCTTTGCTTATATTCAGGTCTAGACTCATTAATCTCGAAGGAATGGATAGCTCTGGGTCATCCGTTTGCCCAACGTCTTTTTGGTGTTTCGGGTGGCAGCAACGACGCTGTTACCGCTCCCACATTTTCTAATATTCCTCGATTGTGTCGCTCAGCTCATTCGGCTTTACCCAATGCAGTGCGTTTGATTTTTTTTTTTTTTTTTGATCATCGATTGTTACCATGCTACTTATCCAAAAGAATGCTAGGTATTGGCAAAATACTCCTCGGGCGGGAGTCAAGCTCACACATCACGCCTAGTCAGGCAGTTTTGCGTCACCGCTTCTTCAGGAGTTTTGCTCATAACCCAGCCAATTCTATGTCATAACCTTTTGCATGGAAACTCTAGCCAAAAAGTAGTTACCAAATCGAATATGTTACCTGGACCTGTTCCATTTTTACTTATCCAGTTACCAGTAAATATTTATATTTATAGGTTCACCTACACTCAACATGCATTGATAGCTTTGTGGGATCTAGCGCTAACGGGAATGGTGCCAGCATTTTCTGCCTCGTCGATTGCAGATCAACTTGCCTCAAATATCAGTGGTGGTCCTTTTCCATTGGAACGATTTTTTCATGAATCATACTTCCGACTGTTTACAAGCATTACCAATATCGGAGCTGTAATTGTGGAGAAAGCTTCAGGTACGTAGATCGTTGACAATTTCAGGCTAATGTCGATTATTTATTTTCGTAGTTGTTTTGGTAGACCAAATCTTCGGACATACATACATATGCAGGTTTAGAACAAAGTTCCACTCATCTCCTTCGTTACATGCCTTATTATAGCACATTTCTCCTCGTTATGCGCGAGTGCAATTGTTGTGAAGGTGATAAGAAAAGGCAAGAAGATAATTCAAAATTAATATCTACTGGAGATTTTAGCCTCGTGATTCACTGCCCATGTAGGCTAACACGGCAGTGAATAACGGTCGAGGATTTCCTCGACCATAGCTCTCTACCATGCGAGAGTAGTGCCGAGAGTGAACATCCGCGCGGAGAGCACAGACGGCACGCCATGGCGAGTGTGAATGTCCGCGCGAGAGATCGTGTCTGACCGGGCAGAGAATCCTCGACGTGCCGTTGAGGAATCCTCAAGCGATATTCACCCTGCTAACCGGTTATCATTTTGCACGTGTGATTGAGCGGTGCTCGGGTGGTGTGTAATCAGTAGTACTACTGCGAAAAGCGAGCGCAGGTAGTGGTCACTTCAATTTGTGGTGTGGGTTCGATGCCGGAGACGAAGGACTGTTTTTCATACCTGCCGTTCCGCGTTTCGCCTGTGATCCATGTAAAACTGGGTTTGACCAATTTACGGATGGTACTGGTGAACTTCAGCGCTCATCAAAGATTCGCGTTGAAACTAACAGGAATAGTTCCAATATAACGTCCATCTATAATGTTTGGGCCAGCGATTGCTGATTTTCAGTCATCTAGCAGTACCACTCGGCGGGGTTTCTTCGGAAATTGTTCACAAATTCTCAATTTGCTTAAGGCCATAGGTTCCGGATTAAGTGTCAATGGAGTCGGTCCCTGTTAAGTTTGAGAAAGAAGGGTTCCGCCACGCACAGTCGAGGTGGAATGTACATGACTACTCGAATGCGAAGCAACGCGCTAAGGCCTCCCTTGGTCCCGTGGTATTTGCTGCTGTGCTGCCATCCCTTCATCAATCACGCAATCCGTGCTGGTTGTACTGCCGCGTTCAAGACCGTGGACCTCAGCACTTCCCCTCACTCTTCGCAACCCTCGTCGCACTTCTTTTCTAATTGGTCGAACAAAATCCTTCAAGGTTTAATGAATTGCCAGGAAAGTTTTGTAGCGAGCTGAAGGGCTGTGCCTCAGCCAAACTAGACATCAGCCTGATCTATATGAAAACAGCGCTCAGCGTCCAGGGACGGCCCTCCACAGAACTGGTGACAATGAAGCGTAACTTGTACTGCTCACTTTCACTGACTCCCATTAAAAGAGAAAGTCACGATCAGGTCGAAGGTCGGAGGGGATCTTATCAGTGCAGATGCAGACGGATTGACGGTGCGGAGCAACACGCAGTTCGCAGCGAAGGGTATGCCGCGATCGTTAGCGTCGAAGAAAGTACCGATGGAATCACATCAGTGCGAAATCATCTGGCAAGGAAGGGGTCTTATCTCATTCTGGGCCCTTTCTCATGTTTTTCTTCATCCGGCACCACAGACCACCTTTACCTTAATTTCCTCATGGAGTGGCATTCTATCGGTTATATTCGCCTTCAAGATTTGGTGTTGCAAGCTTATGCGACAAACTCGCGGGTGAAATTAGCAAGAACAAGCCACGAGAAAAGCATAAAATTGGCGGTGCCATAGTTTTCTCTTGTGAACTTTCGGGCAAAGTATTTAATGATCGTTTACTCGTAAAGACAGGAAGGAAAAAAGAAGTGACAGAGGGCATGGTCCCTGGCAACCTGTCACAAGTCCTGCGTCGCCACGAAACAATTCTTTGTGCCTCAGATCGCACCCATGATGTTTATTAACTGTACACCAAGTTATTAATGTATATCGTTATTCTTCGTCCTTTTTAGGAATGCGTTGATTTATGACGTGCTTCGACCTCCAAGGACAATGGCTGACGTACAATTGTGGAATGAATGCTATCTGAGATGGATACCTTCCGCTAACGTTACTGTAGGTTATATTTTGATAGAATATTTCAGGTGAAGCTTTATTTTGATTCGTGTTCATATTGGTGCGTTTGAAAAATTCTTGCGAAATTCCCTTGTAGATGGATCATCTTTTTGTAAAACACCACCCACCTTCTCTCATTGTCTTCAAGGTCCTGAGACAGTTTTGAAATTGACAAGGGATCTGTGCTAAATTAGGCTCTCTTCTCTCTGCAGAGGGTGCTTTTGTGTGGAGGTCTTTGTGCTGGAGTCGCTCAGTAGGTGGGGTCGCCAAACACATTGGGAACCCTTCAAGTGAATTCCAAAATGTAACGAGGTTGTTTTCTTTTAGAAACAAAAAGGAAATTATACCCGTTGATCAGTTTTGATAGAACTTTCTGAATTTTATTCCTGATTTTCAATTGATGTCAGAAGAACCATCAAAGGCTTATTAACCACATATGGTTCTATTTTCTGTCAGAAGAACAGCACGCTTATTAACCACGTATGGTTCTACTTCAAACGGTGTTCTTGTTCAGCGTGGCGGTGCCGTCATCGATGACTTCGCCTTGAAGGAAGTGATCGAGGAAGAATTTCCGTCAAGTATAAATGTTCTGTCGAGATTTGGAGCAACCAATGTTAACTTAGATAAGGTACATCTTGTGCCTTTTCTTTGATTTAAAATGCTTTATTCAGCGCTTTCGCCCTAGAAGTGTATAGTTCGGTATTATTGATACGTTGATTGCAAAATGGAAAGAGTTTCTTTTTGAATACCTTAAAAACATGATCATTCCCGTGTGTAGGTGAGCTCCGCACATCCGTATTCGGCGGCAGATGTAAATCATCGTGGCTATTTCGCAAGTCGCGATTCTGATACGTTGTCAATTTCGTCGATGTCGTTGTCAGTCAGCGAGGATAGGTGGAAAGTGAGTTCATATTATTTGAAGCCAGCGATGTTCCAAGCAACATCGTAGAACAACTTCCGTAATAACTTCGTATACTCTTTTCTCATTGAGATTGTCAAGAGCAACTGAGAGTTTTTCATTCGTTTTTCTTGGTGTTTATCGGTCGAATGCCTGAACAGGTTAAAGCAAAGGACAAGAAGAGGTGTTATGCGCGTTCGTAAAGTGATACAGGAGCAGATCGCAGAGCATTCCATCGCTGCTTAACTCACAACCGGTGGTACCGGTGTATGGTGTGAGTAGGTTTATACGGGTGGGGCAGAACAGTAACATGATAAAGTGGGTATTAAAGAACCCCATCCTGTAGACAGCAGTAGGTCCTTGCCCGATGACCTCGCTCAACTGATTTACGTGCATTAACAAAACCGTAATAATGTAGGTTGTAGGAAAGTGTTCTCGCGGTTTTTTCGAACACGTTGAGCTTCTCGTTGAGCAAACTTTTTGGAATGGAAGCAGAAAAGTGGCTTTGCCGACAAAGTGTCTCCCGAAGCACCGATGAGCGAAACCGCCCAGTGATAGAAGTTTGATGGTGGAAATTAAAACTGGCGCTGTTCTGTTTCCTAATATGTTTTCTTGGTGATAAAAATTAAGGTACATATACCCCGGTCCCGCTGTCAAAAACCGCTTTTTTGAGAGAGACTTTCCTCTATCACCTATTATATTGATTAGTGCAAATGTTTCGCTACCGCCCACAAGCCCCGACCTCTTCAAATTTATATTGGATATCTGCAGGCCATCGTGCTTAGTGTTCCCGTCTCCTTGGTGGAATTTCTCTAGTGAAGACTGAAATTCGGATGCTATCATATGCGGAAAGCTGTGCTTCTACATCTAGTGGCTACTCTCCCCGTCGACGGAACACTGAATTTCGTCCAAAGCATACAAGAATCGACTAACCAAAGCAGTCTCACCGGTTTATGTTTTGTGATTATTTATTTTTCGATTTTCTAGTATTGATGACAGAATCACTTGCTGAAATCTCTTTCACTTTTGGTGGACTCGGCTTTAGCCTTCCACATTAATCGTAGAAACTAGGGCGGTGTTACTGTGGCATGACTAGAGCGGCGCTCTGTAGTAGAATTTGAGGAAATAGCTACACTATGTTACAGAGATCAGCTCGATTTCGGATGGACTATAGGTGCTCGACTATTTTACTCTGGTTTTTTGCATGAGGCCTTTAACATTCCTTTAGCATGGTTTAAGTTCTTCGAAAGACGTTGCACCATTTCATGCTTTTCAGAATCGCATGTTGGGAAGGAATGTAAAATGCAGCATTTACCACAGTCTCTAGAGGGGTTTAGAGGGGCATGGGAGTGCCCAATGGTGCGCCAATGGTGACAAAAGCAGAGAAGTTTATCAAGAAAGCGCCAAAACGGGACCCTTGTTGGCCGTTGATTTTCGCTCATGGAACAGGCAACGGCTCAGAACGGACGTATGAACGAGTTCACCGCAACGCGTTTGGTGGCACCATGCCAAACCATGCTCCAGTCGAGTTGCTCCAGTTGTGCCGCTGCTGGCAACACAGCTCGTCCAAATCACCAACTAAACTAGTGGGCGGATCGCTTTTTTTGGGCGGAGCGCTTTCGAAGTCTGCTCAGCAACCAGCGCATTTCGTCGTGAAAGCGCTACATCTCGCTACCTTGGTAGCCAAGCTACTGCTTTGTGTGGCCGGGCATGAGTCGAGGAATCTTGCTGAATGAGTTCGTTTTGACCCGCTGAAAGCAGGGTCGTGTCAGCGTCAGCACTGAGGAAAGTGTGGTACTCTGTCTGAGAGTTGTGGGGAATATTATCGTGATCGGGCTGGAGAGATCTCCAAAAAGGTTGCCATTGCATGTTGCACCTACTGGGAGCGCATCAACGATTGTGAAGCGTGTCGGTGGAGCGTGTCACGTGATATATCCAAATGAAACTGCACACAAAGCCTGGCTTGTACAGGTTGTTGCCTAGAATGACAGCCATTCAAGTGCTGCTACAAGTTTCAATCAGTCGTCTCAGTAGCCTAGCAGGGCTCTACCCGTGACGATGATTATCCTTTGTGGCTGCTTATGCCCACCGATTGGTCCCTCGTCTAATTTTATCCGTTCCAGAAGAGAGGCAGAGCAGAGCAAAAAGGAGGATTCCACGATAAGGTCGGAGGTGAAGAAGGAAAAATGTACCAAAAAAAGGCGAAAGGCAGGCGGCCCCTTAGAGGTGCGGACCGACACGCGATTCGCTCCAGAGTTATCATCTCGACGATCTAATATAGCCGTCCCCGCTCCGCTATTGACGCGGCACGCCCGCCGACTGGCTAACCACTCGCCACAGGTCTCCAGCGTTCAGCAGAGAAAGAGCGTTGTTAAAGCAGTGGCACCAATGGGAATTGCATCAATGCGGAAATCAGTGAACAAGGAAAGGTTCCATTTCTCGGGTTCTGGGTCGCTCTCATAGTTTTTTCTTCATCCTGGCACCACTGACCGCCCCTGAGGGCCGCCTTCCGTCTTTAACGTTGATGATGTCAATAATGAGATGAAGTCTCGCGCTAGCGTGGAAATCTTCCTCAGGGGAAGCAAGGGTTCTTTGTGGGTTTTGGCCCGTTACTCTATGTTGCTCTTCATGGCTGCATCCGTTAGCGGCTTTATTTTCAAGACCAATTTATCGCAACATTGGCTTTGAACCAACGATTTTCTCTTTTTCTGATACTAATCAACCATGTTCGCTTATTGCGCAGGTGCACTTCAATTTCTAGTTAAGCATTTTGTTTTCATCAGGTTGAGCAACCAGTTGTCACCCAGTCTGTTTCTGTTTTCGATCTATAAAGTTTTCATTATCACCGTCAGAGTCTATAGAACATTACAAAATGGGCGCCGCTCTGGTTTTGTTCGATATTACGGCCTGCCAAGAGCACCATCAGTTTTTGTAGCTTACTGTATTCAAAGTGTTGCTGACGAATTCGGTTCATTGCCCATAAGAATGTGTATATTGCATATTTTATAAGGCTGCATAGTATATAGATGTTCCGTTGTTCGATCGATAAAAACTTCTACCTCTGCTCATTGTATGTTTTTTGAAGATGCTTCGATGCTGTATTTACGCAGCAATTCAGTCTCTTCTTGTGTAAACAGTACCGATAATTCTTCTGAACGTTAATTGGAGTGAAAAGGATAGAGGGAGTTCAACTATGCGAATAGAATGCATGGTCGAGCGGAGCGAGAAAGACTCGCCTGAAAACGCGGGGTACCCCCAGGAGGCCCATCGCGCGGCAAGAAGGCAGAGTCGGCGGACGAGTCGCAGCGCGTGATGTGCGATGTAGGACGTGCAATGGGACATTCTATTTAACTTGACGCGAAATCCCTAATACGCGCGCGACTCGTCCGCTGACTCGCCTTTTGCCGCGCGACGGGCCTCCTGGGGGGGGGGTACTCGAAAACGCGGGCTTTTAACACTCAAACACTCACAGCTCTCTTCAAACTCAATTTTATGGGGAATAATGATACCATGACATCGCACAAGCTTTGTGCTTCATAACAGATACTGAAACCCTTTTCAGGAAGTCGCCGACAGGCAAATATTTTTTCCCAAACTTTTCTTGTAAGCCTTTAGCAGTCAATCTACCCAAGTGGTCACTCTTTTACTAAACTTAGGTCCAGTTTGAAGACATTGGTTCTCCTCGAGAGCAGGTGAACAGTCAAATATGGATACTTCTGCAGTAGACTCTTCTGCTCTGAGGTGCGCCATGCACTCGTTTGTGGTTAATAGTTGGAAAAGCACTCAAAAGTTGTACTCCTCACCAGGGTCAACCGTGCGTTGGACAAGTCCAACGAGGGGTGGGGGTCGTATTTCGCGAGGTAGCGTTAATGTTACAGTAAGGGAAGTGATGATGCAGTTGGTTGGCGCGCTAAAATTTTGCCGTTTCACGGTGTGTATAAGCCCCCCGCTCGACGGTAATTTTGGAGGAAAAAAGTGGGCGGAGTTTGGGCTGTGTCGACTGGTCTCAGAATCGAATACTATAGAATGAGCCCCATGATGGCGATGGCAGGCGAGGGTGGTGAAGGGTTGACCCTGAGGGGGGTCGTTAAATTTTTTCAAATCGGATCCAACGTGACGTTGACCCTGCCCCTCACCTACCGTTGCGCAGCAGCGCCCCGATTACAGCCCGAGCTTAGAGGTTTATTCTCATCTCTCGTTACATTATGTCATTCCACGCATTGCGATGTTGACTCTTGCAGATACAACCCCCCTCCTTCCCGTTGGCCAAATACGATCCCCCGTTGGATTTGGTCCAACGG